ACCGTTTAATTTCAGGCAACACGGAGATAGTTCTGACGTTGAAATTTCCGGCAGGAGTTCCTCAGTTTCATTTTTTTCAACACGAAAAGTTGGAAAAGGGAAATTCACAACATTGATGATCATTGAGAACTGTATTGTTGATAAGGTACACGGAAAAAGAATATACTTGAATTGACTGTAAAATAAACTTGAATCAAGTATATTTTATACTCAATTCAAGTATTTTTTTCCCATGATTTTGTGGAAATTTGCATTTTGCCCAAAATTTCAGGGAATTTCCTCATTGAAACGTTTTGATCAAAACGTTTCATCAAATTTTTAGTGAAATGTAAAATTTAATTTAATGCTGTTCCGGGATTACTGAATGAAATAATTTGTAATAATCGCCGGATGTTTAGACTCGGAGTTGATATCAGTGATACTCAGGGAGCCTGGAATTTACAACGTTTAATAAATGTCCCTGACGGGTGGTCAGGCAAGGGTACAAATCGCCTCGAACCGCAGACACAATGCTTAGTAATGGTGACCGACGGTTCGTGCTGCTGTACAGCTTGGGAGGGAGGCAAAATCGGGAGGGAGAGGGACTGGTTCCTAGTGGTCCGCGGATAGCATTCGTTATGTTCCTTGGCCCAGCGTATTCAGCACGAATCGACTCTCTCTCCCTCTTTACCCAGTACAAACGAACAAACGAGCTTAATTAATCGCTTCTATCCTCTCCCATCCACTGCGGGTCTTTGTACACAAGTATATTACGTTTTTCTAGTGCGTCAAATAAAAATTGCCGTAAGAGAATAATAAATGCCATTTCCCTGAATTTTTTTTTCCTTTTTTATTGGATTGTTCATCTTAAATTGAACAATTTTTTTTCGAATAATTTTTTAATGAAAAAAATTGCAGGAAATATCCTTCAATTTTTTCTCATCTTTTATTCGATTATTTGTGTCAAATTACGTCGAAATTCGTAGAAGAATTTTATAAATTGTTCTCTCTTAGAATAAAAAAAATTATTGGAAAATATTTTTAACCGAAAATGAAAAAAATTCTAGGAAATATCCCAATTAGTGCCTAGACTCATCAAAATTCCAAGAATGTCGATAATACTTTGAAGTTTGCACTAGGGATTCCATTAGAACACTCGCTCACAGCCTATTTGATGAAACTTTCTACAGGAGAATGGGATACAATCGAACCCAGCCACTATCAAAAGTCGGGGATGCCTTACGCTGTATTGTTCCGTGGTATAAACGCAGTTTAACTACAAATCTCTAGTGGTGTTGGGGGGAGGGGGGGGAGGGAGGGGGGCTTTGAATGTCGGAGTAGTTAACAGTAACTCAGGAGTACCCTCAGCGATGCATCCAAGACTCTAAAATATACAAGACTAAAATAAACCACGAGTGTCGTGAGAATTTCAGGGTAATACCACTGAAATTGGGGATGCAAATGAATTAATGAGTTCATTCCACTGCATACAGACTAACAACATTTCAGTGGTTATTTATATTCGTGCCAGACGATTTCCCATGATTTCATAATTTTCATTCTCTCTGAAGCAACGGAGCCAACTTCATCCAGAGAGAACATTGTTTTTTCAATTATTTTGAAGCAATGAATAGTCATTTTTCCTCTGAAGGAAATGTGAAGTTGTTGTTTTATTTCAATGTTAAATTGAATCTCCATCAAATCGGAGAATTAATCAATTTTTCCATAAATTAAATATTTGGAAAAATCAATTGGAACCGGTTTAAAAAATTCAGGTAAATGTAAGTTGGGGAATTCTCGTCTTTCTACTGCCCCAAAAATTCAAGAATTATTTAGTGAATTATAAAAAAAATAATAAAAAGTAATTTCTCCGAAGAAAATACGAAGGAGTTTTACTTGAAACTATATTCAATGGAAAGCCGTAAAAATGTTCAGTTGCATCATGGCAACTTGTATCATCACATCCCCTTGCAAATGAGTTTATTTAGTGCACGACATTCGCCCGAAACTCATATATAAACTAGTTAAAAACAAACTCTCATAAATAAAACAAAGTGCAACGGCGAGCCTCGTTTTTTGTCCCTCGTTTTTTCTTCGCGCCCCTTTTTATGTCGTTAGGTGCTAATAAATTCATAAAGCAGTCTGTATGTGCAGTTTACCATCCAGCAGTGTCTGACGTAAATACTATTCAACTACTTCGGGAATGAGAAGTGGAGTAATGCCGTTACACAGCGGTTGCTGCCAATATCGATCTGGTAAATATCTACGATAGGATTGTCCCGAGGGACTGACCGTGTCCACAACCGCATGAGGTCCCATTGTCCTCGGGGAGCAGCTCCTTCACCTCATTGTGCCACTATTAAGCTCCCTAATTTATCGCGATTTACCGAGTGCGAGCTCTTGTACCGGGGAATTCACTTTAAGGTCATCTATGATGTTCGATTATTTTTGGGGCGACGGGGAATCACGAGAGCTCATTAAGGATTCTGAGGTGAGGGTCTCCCTGGAGTTTAGGGTGTGGCTTCCCTTTTACCACATTCACGGAGGGGAATCGCCGGACATTTCAATAAACATTTGGATTATTTCAGAGTCCATTCGAATCAACTGCACTGGCTCAAAATTACTGCCAACATTTTTTTTAGTGAATTTCCGATACCATTGCTGAAATTTATTATTACTTAATGTGAAATTTTATTTTTTTTCTCTATTAGGTAAGAGTAACATCATGATGGAATTTATTTCCATCCAAGTGTTCAATAAACGAATTTTTTATTACGTTAATGTTTCACGGAAACTTCAAAGGATTTCGTCTTTAAACTGTCAAATTTTTATTTTTCCTGTATTAGTGAAGACGAGTAAGGAATTTCATAAACGATTTGATCTTAAATTAAGGTATTTTTCGACTAAAAAAACCAACATCACGATGGAATTTTATCGTACTTAAATTCCCGGAATTTTTTATTTATCTGATAATTAGCTCTGGGATGTTTCAGGGGAAGTTTGCTCGAAGTAACAGTGAAAGTTAACTCAGCATTTCTTGCTCCCCAAATTTATCAGTGCATGCATGTTTGGAGGCTGGGACTTAACCCACTGGGAAAAGTTCATTCCATTTTATTTGTTTCTATCGAACATGAGGAGAGAAAGTTGAGAGTGCCTCCTATCCTGGCTGGGAACCACGACCAGTCGTGGTTACGGTTCATTTTGTCGGTCTCTACCCCATCCCACCCCCTGGTCTCCGATAGTCTCAGTACTCTTAGCGTTTTGTTTCCTCCCACCCACCTTCTCCACATATTCGTCTTTCCCGAGAGGAAAAAAAACCCCATGAAAAGGGGAGAAAAAAGTCCCGAAAATAGCCAATACACGGCCCGCTCGAGCCCATAAAAATCACGCTCTCCTGTTCGAGGATATTGGCTCTACCTCGAGAGTACGTGTACTCGGACGAGTCCATTCTCTCGGATTATTTTTCTCTCCTCTCGTTTCCCTTTCTTTTCCACCGAAATGGGGCCACGGGTCGTTTATTGGATAAAGATGATACGGAATTGAGGATATGAAACTCGTATGAATTAACGGAACCGTCTCTCCCCCAGTTGAGTCCAATTTGCCGGAGTTTCTCCCCCCGAAATTAACAAAAATTTTCTTCTAATTCTCGGGATGATACATTCTACTGCCAGGCGGAGTCACGTAACTGTCTGCACTTTCATTTCGGTAAGCGGCTGGTATGCAGGACAAAATGATAACGATAATGACTACGTGAGGAATCGTTAGGGTTACTGCTGAGTGCAGAAATTATTTAATGAAAATTTTTTTAAAAGGGGAATTAACTTCACGGGAAAAAAAATTGTTTTCGCTGCGCCCGTTAGATTTATTCAATTTTTTTATATCGCGACCTACGTTATTCATTATTTATAATGTATTATTCATTACTAAGTAACTAAGCTTCATTCGAATCAAGGAAGGATTGATTGATATTTAAACGCAAATAAAAATCTAGTTTATTCAATTGAAATGAACCATTCAAGTAAATTTGGGGATTTGTAACTTTGAGTGAAATTTAAAATTTTAAATTCCTCTAAACAACAGCATAACAACTGAAGTTTTCATTTAAATAAAGGAAACATTCATTTCCATTAGAAAAAACTACTCGTTTGATCTGCACAAAAAATGCAAATGAACAATTTCTCTGGTTTTGATTTTAACAAAAAAAAATCTTCATCAAGTCCCCATCAATCAGAATAATCCATGTGCCTCGTCCTTGATACTACAAATTCATACGATTACCCTCCCCCGGAGCGAAATGAATACCCGCGGATTCTCCTGACATACCTCACTTCAGTTGGGTGTTGAATCATGAGACTCAGTTTACCTCCAACGAAGTTTACGAAATGCGGATGCGAAACAGTCATTTGCATTTCAAATTACCAATGGGAGTTTGTGTGGTACTTGCCATGTGTACCTGGACAAAGTCACCTCTCTCAAAGTTGACGGTGGGTTTAAATGCGCGCGGAGGTGGGACACAATCCCTGACACGTCACACTGCACATGTAGGTTAGAGGATGGAAGCACACGTCGCGTGTTGAGAGCCCGCCCCCTCGGAAAATGTCATTAATGACATTATAAACTTGTGATTGAGTCAGGGAAGAGAGAGGGGGGGGGGGCGCTAAATGCCACCGTTCAGGGGTGATGTTTCCCTGAGGAGTGTTATCGAATTTTCGGAATTCGTGGGTTTCGTTAACGAGTGGCGTCGCTGCAACAATTTTTTCCAAAAGAGGACCGCAATGGAACTATTTAATCGGCAATATCTCGTAATCAAACGATGCGATTTGAATGAGTCAAATTTCAAATGAAAGGCGGAAAAAGTATCTTTAAAATGAACAAAGGATCGCGGAATTTCACTCTGCCGATGTCGAGTAATTGACGAATGAAAATTACGCTTTCACAGCGTTACGAATTATTTTGGATGGGGAGGAAGTTGCTACGCAGTTGAAATCCGCAGAATTGAATGGGAATTTTCGTGTACTCACTTTGCCTACTCCAGTCATCTCCTTCACTCCAATCCTCCTCAGAAATGCTGGAGGTGCAGGTGGCGGTGATTTGAGCAGCAGAGCCCCGTAACCATTCGGAAATACAGGCTCCTCCGAGCCAACATTTTCATCCCCCGAACGCCGTCGACGGTGGGGACTCGATGAGAGGTTCCATTTCTGCGCAGCCCTGAAACATCGATAAAAATTCACTCGATGAATATTACTCTTCGTATTGATAAATTAATAGTTTATAAATTTTTGTTTCAAAAATATTTGTTTTATTTTTTTTATTCTTCTTCAAAATAAAAAATGAATTATCTTTTTTTTAATATTTATATATTATTATTTTTATTCATCTTTCAATTTATTGAAGGTCTGAATTTATTAAGAGGGTCCGAAGGGTGACAAAAGGGCGCAAAAATCTTAAAAATAATTCTATAGAAAAATACTTTTCATCAGAATTTTTTATCACAAAAATTTGTTTACCCTCATTTTTTTGAATCTCTTCACAATTATCTGCGAAGAAATGATTGCCTCTTTCCATGCAACATGATCGACCATTGATAAAAAATTAATAAATTATTTTTAAAAACAGATAAAAAATCACAAGTTTGACACAAAAAATCCTGGAATGTCTAGAATGCACGTCTTAATTTCTTAATTTAAGAAACCTAAAAATGACTTCAAATTTGAGGACACGAAAATCTTAAAAAAGGGGAACAAGTGTCTCAATTTCACACACTAGCTTTTTCAGCATCCCCCGACTGAAAACTCTCCACACGTTTTACAACCGAAAAACAAAACGAGATAATCCAAAGTAACTGAGAATGAATTTGGGCGGGTTTGACTTTACGAACGTGCCCGGAGGGTGACTGGGTGACATACTCCGCTGGCGTGAGGAAGAGAGCAATGGAGGGGCCTCGGGCCGGGGGGGGGGGGGGGAGGGGAATGGGGTGAACCTGGTAATCAGCGCAGGTAATGTCCCGGAACCCGTGTGTTCCCAGGGTTTCGTGTTTAAAGGGAGAAATGCCGAGGTGGGGAGGAGAGGACGGCCTCCAACTCCGGACCAACCCACGGGCCTCGTTAACCCACGCGCTGTGAAATTGGAAATACCGTCGTGCGACTCGTCGCGTTGCGGTGAATGTGAGAGCATCCATTTCAGCTCATCCTCATACAGAGGAGGAAAAAATGGGGGAAAAGAGTTGAATAAAAAAAAACGTGGGAAGATGTGTTGGGGGGGGGGGGG